GCCTCATGTGAATTCTGGGGAAAAGGAGAGGTGAGGGAACCAGGGAAGTTCCTGGGAAAGTGGTGCTGGAGACATGAAATTCACCAGCCGGGAGGGGACAGGAAACAGCCACTCCATCAACAAGGAATTTTGGCTGATAACAAAATACTTTAAGATATGGAAAGTAAACTCTGGGGTTTGATTTATTCCACTTACAAGCTAATGAGTGTAAGGTCTGGGGTTTGATTTATTTCACTTATGAGCTAATAAACTAACTTGTTAGTGTTTCGGGGATGCTGGCAAAACAGAAGAGTCCTATGTCAGAGATGAGAGATTTGTGAAGTGGGAGAGACCCTACTCCTTTCATGCCTGGAGCCTCAGCTCTGGATGAGTTCTTCTGTATAGTCAAAGCTATGGTTTTTCCAGTAGTCATGCATGGATGTGAGAGCTGGATCTTAAAGAAGGTTGAGCACCGAAGAACTGATGCTTTCAAATTGTGGTGTTGGAGAAGACTCTGGAGAGTCCCTTGGACTGCAAGGAGATCTGACCAGTCAATCCTACAGGAAATCAGTCCTGAATACTCATTGGAAGGACTGATGCTAAAGCTGAAACTCCAATACTTTGGCCACCTGATGCAAAGAACTGACTCCTTGGAAAAGCCCGTGATGCTGGGAAAGATTGAGGACAGGAAGAGAAGAGGACGACAGAGGATGAGATGGTTGGATGGCATCACCAACTCAATGGACATGAATTTGAGCAAACTGGGAGATGGTGAAGGACAGAGGAGCCTGGCAAATTGCAGTCCATGGGGTCACAGAGAGTGGGACACAACTTAGCGACTGAACAATAACAACATAACTTAGTCAATACTTTCAGAGGTTGAGTTCAGGAAACAAAAAGGAGTGAAAGTTCTTGGTACCATTTCCTAGGTCATGGATTATCAGTAGGCACTTATTCTCTATGCCTGCTTATCTACCTGTAAAATAGGAAGGAAATAAACACCTAGGCATATATGATGAATCAGAAGACCATGTACTTATTATTTGCATTAATGTGAGGAAGCAAACTCACCCTGATAATTCAGCCTTCTAGGTTTTGGATTATTCCTTTCTTGACTGAGATTGAAACTGTTTGAGTTGCAGCTCTAGTTCACAGCACACATGCAGACACCTGTGTGGAATTCACCTGCCAGGATCTTCCCTGATAAAGATGCTGTTCATTCACTGGGAGAGGGGAGGACATGAAGGTGAAAAGGGTCAGGTTCCCCGAGAGCAAAAGAATAGAGCAAGAGAGAAAACAGCTGAGGCAGCCCCTCTTCAGATCTTGCCCCAGTGGACGAAAAAAAAAAAAAAGCATCATCAACAGTCTATCTAAGAAAGAAATGGAAAATTTTATTTGAGCCAACCTGAGGATCACATGTTAGCTTAAAACTCAACATTCAAAAAACTAAGATCATGGCATCCAGTCCCATCACTTCATGGCAAATAGATGGGAAACAGTAGATATAGTGACAGACTTTATTTTGGGGCTCCAAAATCAGTGCAGGTGGTGATTGCAGCCATGAAATTAAAAGACACTTGCTCCTTGGAAGAAAAGCTAGGACCAACCTAGACAGCATATTAAAAAGCAGAGATATTACTTTGCTAACAAAAGTCCATCTAGTCAAAACTATGGTTTTTCCAGTAGTCATGTATGGATGTGAGAGTTGGACCATAAAGAAAGCTGAGAGATGAAGAATTGATGCTTTTGAACTGTGGTGTTGGAGAAGACTCTTGAGAGTCCCTTGAACTGCAAGGAGATCCAACCAGTCCATCCTAAAGGAAATCAGTCCTGAATATTCATTGGAAGGACTGATGCTGAAGCTGAAGCTGAAGCTCTGATACTTTGGCCATCTGACGCAAAGAACTGACTCTTCTTCAACATAACTGAAGCGACTTAGCACCACACGAAGATTATAACCCAGGAGACAGTCTTTCAGAAAGCTTGGAGGACTATTCCTCATGTTAGAAATCAGAGCACAGTTATGCACATTTTGGAGACAAAAAGTTCTATGTCAGATGACATGTTATGGACAGTTTACACAATCCAGATCTACACATCCAAAGCAAGCAATGGGTTATATGTGTCTTTGTGAACCTTCACAAGATTAAGAAGAAAGTTTATCTCCTGAGGAATGTGGTGGCCCTTGATGAGATGAAGGAGGAATCTTCTAAGGAAGTGAAAGAAAGTGAAAGTGTTGTCGCTCAGTCGTGTCCGACTCTTCGAACCCGTGGACTGTAGCCCACCAGACTCCTCCGTCCATAGGATTCTCCAGGCAAGAATCCTGGAGTGGGTTGCCATTTCCTTCGCCAGAGGATCTTCCCAACCCAGGGATTGAACTCAGGTCTCCCACATCGCAGGCAGATTCCCTACCATCTGAGCCATCAGGAACACCCATCTTCTCAGCAGGTCTGGTCAATACAGGTGCACAACACGCACACTAAAATGAAAGTGTTAGTCGGGCTTCCTGGTGGCTCAGACGGTGAATAATCTGCCTGCGATGCGGGAGACCTGGATTCGATCCCTGAGCTAGGAAGATTCCCTGGAGAAGGGAATGGTGGTCTGGTTAATAGGGACGCACAACGCACCCTAAAATGGAAGGAGCAGGCCCACACGGACAAAGATAACCTTTGTGTTTAAATTTTTCTTGTCTTGCCATAAAACATGGGTTTGATTTCGTTATCCATCACTCTTACCCTGTACTGTATATCTGGGGAGGGCTGTAGTTACCCCAGTGTCCCTCCCACAAACTCTAGTGGCCCCTGTGTCAGCTCAGGATACTCAGACACAAGGATGTGCATTGCCCCATGGCTGGGTGAGGTCACCCAGCTGGCAGAATAGAAGCGCTGGGACTCTCGGATGGAGACCCTGCCTGGTGTCAGGTACGCTCCTCCAGACCCCGAGACATGCCTGAACCCGCCAGCCCGGCCAGCCTCTGAGACCCCAGGGCAGCAGTCAGTCTCCTTAAAGCCCGCCTCTCACCACAGCATTTCAGGAAAAGATGAAAGGAAGTCTGTGCTTTAAAGCGAATTAGGCAGAACGAGAGCGTTTCAAAGTGCCACGCTCCCCAAGTGGGAGGCTCTTTGGTGGGCGACAGGGGACAGACCCTGCAGTCTCCCGCCTCAGCCAGGGAGATGGGGCAGAACGGCTTTGTCCCCAAGCACCTGTGGCCACAAGGGGAGTAGTCGCCATCTGGGGCGGGTCATTGTAGCTCACTCTTTCCTGCCTTCCTGCTTGACTTGCCTCCCCCATTGCTTAGAGGATGGGTAGTAGCTGTGAACACTTTGTAGGGAGGGGTGGGAGTGGGAATAGGGCTGAGTGGGGGTGTGACCTTCCAGGCGGCATGGATGCACCCGCAGCGGGGGTGTTGGGATCCAGCTAGGACTCCAGCCGTGAGAGCAGCTCAGGCTGTGGGGCAGACGCTTAGGTGCAGAGCTCAGGATCTTGATCCTGGATCACCTTTTCGTGTCCCTCTTACCACATGTACAGCCCTGGGCCAAATGGCTTAACCTCCCTGAGCCTCCATTTTCCTCATCTGTAAAATGGGCATATTAATAGGTTTAGTGAGTTCACAGGAAGAAAGCTCTTAGACCAGTCCTTAGAGGTACACTCAGCACAGTCAGGGCACAAGGTATGTCTGCTCTTAACAGGCTCGATACAGAGGAGGAGTCGGATAGGCTACTGGCCTCTGTGGAGGTCACAGCTGCTCTCTGTCTCATTCCCAAGGCATGGGTTTTTACAGTTCCAATTTTGCACACACAGGATCAGTGTAGTCAGGGTGGCTCGTCACATCGCTAATCATGCTTCGGAACTTCAGTCCTCCGTCCTCTTTCTACTTCCCTCACAGGAAAGAGAAGCTGGCCCGAGTTCTCTGTCTCCATCCCCTGCTTGCCGGATGGCTGACCATGATCGTGTGCTTTAACTGCCTGAGCCCCTATGGTCAAATAAGGCCTTGGACAATGAGCAGTTATTATTAATAGACGGCATTCGTTAATTACAGACAGCGAGATGCAAGGCCGAGGGGCCAAAGCTCCAGCAGCGGGAGAGGACCACCTGGTTGTGGGCACCCCTCACATCCCCCAAGGGGGATTAAGATGCAGGGCAGGGCCTCCCACGGGCACGGCAGCCTCGGGACGGCTTTGACCCTCAGTTGAATCTCAGGCTCATCCCTGGCCAGGTGCCCTTGAACAAGAGCCCTCACCTTTGACCTTGACAGAGATAGCATCACCCCCTCACGGCCTGGGAGAAGCACCCAGCTCGGTGCCTGACGCACAACTGTGGATGTTAGAGACAGGTGCCCTGCCCCCTTCCCCGACACACACATCAGCACTGGTTTCTCCGGGACCCCCCAGCTGTGGGTGCAAATGGGGATACTCACTCGGGGATCCCCGCCTCCCATGGCTCCCAGCGCTGAGGGCTCCTGCCACGTCCCCACGTGTGCAGGTCGTCCCTGGTCTCCGTGCTCCTGCCCAGCTCTCTGGGCCCCTGACGACCTCAGCCTCCCAGGAGCTCGCTGGGGCCCCCGACACCACCCTTGCACGGCTGCTCAGACACCCTTGCTCTCAGTCCCCCCGGTGGACAGCTGCACAGCCCCCCCTCAAGAGGGCAAGGTGTCCGTCCTTCCCCAAGTTCAGGGCTAAGGAGGGGGCCCCGCGTGGGTGACTTGGGCCCAGAGCGCTGCAGGCTTGAATACACAGAGCGGCCCCTCCTCTCTTCCCAGACAGGGCTTGGCCAGGGGAGGGGAGCTGGGCCAGTTCTATCCCAGTCACCCCACTGGACACCATGACAGTCCTCTGACCGCTGACTTCCAGGGATGGTTTGTGCCCAACGCGTGCTTCCCTGGGGCCCCTGCCCACCCCAGAGCACAGGTAGGTGCTGGGCTCCTCGCCGCTTTGGCCGCTGGGTTTATCTGGCAATCTGAGCCCCCATTCTGGACGTCATTAGAGATCAGCCCCCCCAACACCCCTCCAGGAGCTGATTGGATGCCCTTTGTTAATCATCGGAGTTCAGATCTCCCCTTGAAGTCAGGGGGCCTGGCAGGAATTCAGGGAACCCCCAGCTCTTCAGAACCAAGGGCAGACCCCCGAGGCGAGGGTGTGGTGGGGAAAGACATTCTGAATCGTCTTTCCTTTGTCGTGACTTCTTCACCACCCAAAACAGGAAACCCCTCTTTCTTCTGGGACCTGGCGTCTGCCTGGAGGTGCCTACACAGGGTGACTCCTGAGATTCCTGACCACGTTACACACTTTGGATATTGTGTGGATGCCTTTGGACTCCAATTTGAGCATCCCTCAGTCTACACACATAAGGAGATTTGTGGATTTAAATTCCCTTTTGTGCAGCTCAAAGCATGAAAATTGATCCAGCTCCTTCTCATATGACCCTAATCCTGGTTAATCATGTTTCTCACGGGTGCTTCTCCAAACTGCCAGCTCTGAAGTCCAGCTGGTGCATCCGGGAACCTCTGCTTTCTCCTCCAGCTCCCCAGCACAGGAGCAGGCAAGAGGTTCTAGGGTGAGGAGAGGATTTACAGGTCCTAGAGAGAGTCCCCCTAACCTGCTGCACTTCTTGGGTGTGGGGGAAATGGGCAAACAGAGAAGTCACTGCAGGAAGGAGTGGGGGAGAGTGAAGTCCCCCGAAACGGGCTTCCCAGCGCACCAAGATGGAGGCAGGACTGCTCTCCTCCCGGGAGTGTGGTGTGCACACCCTCCAGGCCAGGCTCCATGTGCTGGCTGTGCTGACGCCATCTGCTGCTCACAGACCACCTCTGGCTCCCCATTGCCTTCATCCCAAAGCCCGCATTCCTACAGACTCCCGTCACCGGGCCCCCACCTACCACAGTCACTCCTAAGGGCACCCTATTTTCCAGAACTGTGCCCCCCATCACCACCACCTCCACCAACTCACTGTTTGGGAGACACCTGGTTTCCGCCACCTCTCCGATCGCCTCCATCAGCCCCAGGCCCCCTGCTGTGTTGAAGGTCCAGCTCCCTGCCCACCTCCTCCACAGAAGCTGCGTCCCTTCTCCCTTTGGTGGTTACTAACCCGCCACTTCCAAATCCCTGGGGCCCTTGGCATTCCCTCCTTAGCGATGCTGGTCCCCCATGGGCTGCTGCCCAGGGGGGCCTCACTATCTAGCGGTGAAGAGAGACACGGCGGTGCTCACTGAGGTGTTACAGGTGTCCTCTCATGCCCAGGTGAGAAGCAGTGCCACCCAGGAGGGTGGCATTGAAGAGACCTTGGGAATCAGCCCCAGCCTGCCATGGCCATGTGACCCCAGCTCTGCCTTGAACCAAGGACGTGGTAATGCTACCTTCCCCAGAGGATTCGGGACTGCCTCCTTCACACCCAGGCTGCTCCCTAAGAAGCCATGTGGCCTTGAAGGGTATCCACCCTGGAGATCCTCTAGGTGCCTTGAAGGTGTCCAGCAAAGAAAGCATCAGATACTGACACAGCTGGATGGGTGGGTTGCGAGAATAGATGGGGAGACAGGTCAAAGGTACCACTACCTGTGGCCAGCAGATCTGGTTAGAGATGTTCTATGAGCCTTGTCTTCAGTCGCTCAGTCATGTCTGACTCTTTGCAACGCCATGGACTGCAGCACGCCAGGCTTCCCTGTCCTTCACCATCTCCTGGAGCTTGCTCAAGCTCGTGTCCATTGAGTCAATGGTGCCATCCAACCATCTCATCCTCTGTGGCCCCCTTCTCCTCCTGTGTTCAGTCTTTCCCAGCATCAGGGTCTCTTCCAATGAGTTGGCTGTTTGTATCAGGTGGCAAAAGTATCGGAGTGTCAGCTTCAGCATCAGTTCTTCCAGTGAGCATTCAGAGTTGATCTCCTTTAGGATGGGCTGGTTGGATCTCCTTCAGTCTAAGGGACTCTCAAGAGTCTTCTCCGACACCACAGCTCGAAAGCCTTAGTCCGCAGGAAAAACAATGAGGATTCTGTCTGATACCTGGATATTTAAGTCCAGCAGAAAGAAGTCAGAGGATTGACAAGTGGGAGACAGCCGGTGACTTGTTCACAGACAGGGCCTCAGGAGTGGGTGGGGTCAAGTCTCAGGCGCCACCCAGAGCAGTCAAGGGCTGAAGGGCCCCGGGTCTGTGACTCACCTGTGACCCAGCAGGAGGCAGCGCTGGGAGGCGGCTGGTGGGTGTGACCCCGGGGCCTGGAGGCAGGGCTTGTTAGGGTGCCCCCTGGTGGGACCTGCAGTGCGGTGAGCCTGGAGCCTGCATGGCACCCACAGGGACCGGACGGCCGCCCCTGTGCCGTCCCTGCCCCAGGCCGTCTCAATGGCCGGAGGAGGACAGGGAGGCTTCTTGATGGGTGAGTCTCGGGCAGCGTTGGGAGCAGGGCTGGGAGGGTTCCAGAGGGAGCCTGAGCCAACTCTTCCTGAAAAGCCCTCCGAGCTGCTGCGACTGTTTCTCTGGGGAGACAAGGGGTGGGGAAGTGGCTCCCTGCGGACCACACCCCCAGGGGTGACCTTTGCAGGACGCACAGGGCCCATTCAGAGTGGGACCAGAGCCCTAAGCGTCTGGCCTCGGCCGCCATTCTCCTTCCAGTCTCCTGTCCGTGCCGCGCGGCCCAAAGCCGACCAGCGTGGGAACTCACGATCGAGGACACGGGGCAACCCTGGGCACGGAGCGGGGTGCCAGGAGTGGAGGGAAGGAAAGCCGAGGTGCCCAGCTTACCACCCGAGCCCCCAGAAGGCCAGGCCGCACACCTTGGGCCCTCCCGGGAACGCAGGGACGGCCGGGCAGGGGCGGTGCTGCGTGTGGGAGGTGCCCTGTGGGGGCCCCAACCCGAGGGGCTTAGGCAAGTGGGCACCTTCCCGAGCCCGACCTCCCCCTGCTTCAAACCCCGAGAGACTTCCCCTGGCTCCAGGATGGCATGTGGTTCCAGCCCTCGCCTGAGCCGTCCCCACCAGCCCCAACTTGCACCTTCCTCTCTGCGTTTCTGCTCGACTTGACCACCTCTCTTTCAGTTCCTTCCAGCCCACCTGCCTTCCTGACAGGCCTCTGCACCTGCAGCTTCCTTCGCCCGGAGGCCCCTGTCCTCTCTGCCCAATTACTGACCCATCCTGCGGTCCTCTGGCCATTACCACTTTCTTAGGGGGCCTGCTGACTCACCCCCAGCTCTCTCTTCGATCACACGAAGGAAAGAGTAACAGCTGGTTCTCCAGAGGAAAAAATCCAATACAGTAGATGTGTGTGTATATTGAGAGGTTAAATTTTAGGAATTGGCTCATGTCATGGGGCGGGGAGGGGGCGGGCCTTCCCTGGTGGCTCAGTGATAAAGAGCCTGCCTGCCAAAGCAGGAGATGCGGGTTTGATCCCTGGGCTGGGAAGATCCCCTGGAGAGGTAAATAGCGACCCACTCCAGTATCCTTGCTGGGAAATCCCACGGACAGTGGTGCCTGGCGGGTTATAATCCATGGGGTCAAAAAGAGTCAGACATGACTTAGCGACTGAAAAACAGCAACAGTGCGCATCGCGGGGCTGGCAGACTCAAAATCTGGGTGGCAGATACCTACAGCCTGGAGACTCAGGCGGGAGTGGGTGATGCAGTTGCGGTTGACATTGCAGCCGTAAGTGTGAACTCTGTACGACCAGCTGGCGGGCTGGCAAGTCAGGCAGGATTTTTGTGTTACTTATCATCACAGCCTGTTTGCCTCTCCCTGAGGCCCTCTCTCAGGCCTCACCTCACCCAAGCTGGGCTGCTCTTGGATGATGTTTTCTGGGGCGATCTGGGTCTGGCTGCAGCCAAGGCTGGTCCTTCTTGAGCTGGGAGAGAGAGAGACACACACAGAGCTAGTCCAGGTCCAGGCTGGGCCACACGAGCCTGGCTGCCAACTCTGTGTGTGACTCACAGGGTGGGGCTGGCCTGGAGATGCTGACCAGGGAGGAAGCAAAAGCTGGGGGAGGAGCGGTCACATCTGCCCTCTGCCAGGCCCCGAACTGGCTGCACGCAGATCCTCATGTCACCACTGTGGCATGTCACTATCGGTCTCCCTCAGCTCGGACGTCACGGGGGGCTCAAGGCGAGGCCCCCACCTGCTGCGCTCCCCCTCGCCCATTACCCCAGCTCCTTGGCATTCTGTCCCTTGAGAGGTGTGGGCCTCTGTTCCCGCCTCTGAAAGATGGAGCTGGTACCCAGCCCCAGAGCTGTGACTATCCAGTACTGTGGGTACACAGGGTCTGCAAAGGGCCTCCATAAGCAGGTGATGTCCCCTGATGACAGATTAATCAGCGCCTTAGGCGGCCCCCTCAGCCCCTGCTGGCTCCTTCCCCTGTCCATCCCAGCCCGTGATGCCGTCTACCCTCCTGCCCCCGGCAAGTGTGGAAACAGCCACGCTGGGGCAGCTGCGTCAAAGAGCAGGTTCCTTCTAAGGATCCAGGCAGCCTTGGAGTCAGGCGCCTGGCTCCGCTCTTGGCTCTGCACTTTGCCATGTGTCGTTGGATGCGTCGCTTCCCCTTTCTGAGCTCAGTCTCCGCCGTCTGTTCAGTGAAGTGGGCAGAAAAGAGAGGGCCGGGTGGGGGTGTTAGATGGCGCTCCTTGCAGGAAACCAGAAGCCACTGGAGGATGTCAGAAGTCAAGCCCAACATTCAGGGCATGCTCGCTGTGTGCTGGGCGCAGATCCCTGAGTTTTGCCTGCACTGACCGGACGGAGCCTTTCTCAGCCCAGCCCCATGAGGCGTGTGTGAAGTGTGAAGTGAAATGAAAGTCGCTCAGTCGTGTCCGACTCTTTGTGACCCCATGGTCACATGGAGCCTGTAACCCACCAGGCTCCTCTGTCCATGGGATTCTCCAGGCCAGAATACTGGAGTGGGTAGCCTTTCCCTTCTCCAGGGGATCTTCCTAGCCCAGGGATCGAACTCAAGTCTCCCACATTGCAGGTGGACTCTTTACCAGCTGAGCCACAAGGGGAGCCCATGAGGTGGGCACCGCCTTATCCCCAGGTGATTATGAAGCTTCACTGAGACAGAAGCTGCTGGAAGATTTGGTTCAGAGGATCTGGGGCTTAGACAGTCATTGGAAAGGTGATGGGGGCCGTGCCCTCAGGCACATCCATCCTGATGCTGAAGGCTGGAGCCCGGAGAGCAGGAAGCTACAAGAAGCTAGCACAGGGATTCCTGGTGCTCCTGTGATTAAGACTCCACCTGCCAGTGCAGGGAATACGGGTTCGATCCCTGCTCCCGGAGGATCCCACATACCGAGGGGCAGCTAAGCCCATGCACAGAACTCCTGAGCCTGCTGCCTGGAGCCCCTGCCCTGAAACAAAAGAAGCCACACAAAGGGAAACGTGTGCACCACAACAAAAAGTAACCCCTGCTCGCCACAACTAGAGAAAGCCTG